TTTTTCTGAAGAAGGGTCTAGGCCCAAAATGTCAGCCTTCCTGCTCCTCTGATGCTGCTTGGCCTGCTGTGTTCATCCACCTCTACACCTTGTTATCTGGCACTTCTGACCTACTGGCATCATTACAGAGATAACCATCTCCTAGACCCTCCCACAATTATTATGGTTTTAGGCCAGCTTTTCAAAGTGACTCATTATGCATTCCTGGCTGAGAGTCAAGACATCCAGCAATCTGTTCTAACAGCTTCACTCAAGTGAAAACATTGCTTGATTGACAGCACTTTGTCTGTGATCTAATATGCCAATTGCATAATATTTACTTACAAAAGATAAAGAAGTGTTGAATGCTTATTATTTCTACTATGGAGACTGTACAGATATGATGGTTAACATTTTTACAGGATTGTTGTAAAAGCAGGTTTGTTTAAGAAAGCAAAAAGTTATGAATGCATGTTTATTTTTCAAAAAAGGTTTTCCCATACATCCTATTGTTACAATAGAGTTCTTTGGTGCTGAATACTGGCTTAATGGAAATGCGAGTGTCATATTTAGTCACGGAATGTATAAAAGGCCACGAGGATTGGTGAGGGGCATGAGGTGCCAAGAGTGGCAGAGATAGAGCATGGGGACTTTGTGAGGTGAGGATTCGAGGGCTGACTTCTGTTTTACTGTTATTGTTATAACTGGAATGAAGTTACACAGCACCAAGATAGGTCTTTAAGCAGCCTGTCTTGACACTCAACAGTGCCATGACTGCCTCCAAACATTTTCTCTAGTTATCATCCAGAATGAAAACTGAAATATCTGGGCCATTATTTTTGGCCAGTCATATTTGCAGAGTCAGGATTTTTCCTTACTCTGTGCTCCAGGTTTGGCCCATTGTGATTACAGAGATATTTTAAAATCACTGTGAATAAACCTGTTTCACATTTAAGAACAAGTATCATTTTGTTTCTTTGAAGTAAATCAAGTACATAAAATATATAACAATCTCATCAGTACACCATGCAGTACATTACATCAAGCCCATTCCTCTGCCAGTGAGGTCAGGAACCAGAAGATACAGATTAATTTGCTAAAGAACCAGAGGTTAGGTGTGAGTTATCTAATGAAATGAGTTATTGTTCAATGTTGCAAGTAGATTCAATAGTTATTTGCAAAAGGGGATTGGATAAATGTTTGAACAACGATTACAGCTATTTGGCCTTTTTCTGTACTGTATTATTCTATGAATTCATGAAATTACTGAAGTTAAATTCACATTAGACAGGCTTTCTACATCATTTTATAACCATGCAGCAATCATTGTTCTGAATGGTCTGCCTAAACTTTATGCTTCAAATTATATAAAATTTAATTGTGCTTTTTGGGCATGAAGGTCATGATTTGTAAATTTTCTAAATTACAGAAACCTGCCCTGGACTAGCCTAAAGATCCTAAACCCAAATGCATTTTAATCTTCTGATTTTCTGGTACAAATCACAGAACAAAATTTGGATTTATCTATGGCTCAATTAGTCATTTTCAAATGTATTCCATATGCTTTTTCAACTCTGCACTATTCTTAATAAATAAATTTTCATTTGGCAATTCTGAACCTGAGTATTTCTGAAAGAAAATGCACATTTTGTCAAAGCTTTTCATCTTACTGTTCATCAGGACGTTTTGCAAGAATACAAACTTCAAGGAAAAAATGTCTTTATACCACATGAGCATCTGTGGAGAAAAATTAGAGTTAATGTTTTGAGTCCCGCAACAGATGCTGTCAGACCTGTTGAGCTTTTCCAGCAATTTCTGTTTTTGTTTGTGTTTGTAATACTGTTACATCTGAAGCCAGCTTTTCCTTTTCAAACTGCAGGGTGAGTTCTACCATATTATGGTCACTGCCTGCCTGGGGTTCGTTCACCTTAAGCACCCTAATCAAGTTTACCTTATCACCAAATATAAAATTACTTGTTCCATTGTGGGCTCTATCACAAGATGCTCCAGAAAAAACATCTTGTAGATATGTGGAGAAAAATTAGAGTTAATGTTTTGAGTCCCACAACAGTTGCTGTCAGACCTGCTAAGCTTTTCCAGCAATTTCTGTTTTCGTTTCTGATTTACAGCATCCGCAGTTCTTTTGGTTTTTATTTTGTAACAGTATTACAATTGAGTGACGGTCTAACTACAAAGATATGAGGGAGGAGCTGGCCAAAGTTGATTGGAAGGGGAGCCTATCAGGGAAGATGGTGGAGCAGCAATGGCAGGGGTTTCTGAGGGTAATTTGGGAGACACAGCAGAAATGCATCCCAAGGAAGAAGAAATATGCGAACGGGATAAAGCAACCATGGTTGACAAGGGAAGTCAGAGACAGCAGAAAAGTGGTAAAAAAAGCATAAGATATGGTGAAGATGAGTGGGAAGCTTTCATAAACTTGCAGATGATATCTAAAAAATTAGTGAGGGGGAGAAGATGAAATATGACAATAAGCTAGCTAGTAATATAAAAGAAGATTGCGTAAGTTTGTGTCGATTATCTAAAAAGTTAGAGGGAGGCAAGAGTGGAGATTGAATCGGTGAAAATTGAAATGGCAGAGGAATTGAATTGATACTTTGCATCAGTTTTCACAGTGGAACATACCAACAGCATGCCAGACATTGAAGACAGTCAGGGGACAGAGGTGGATGTAATATTGACGTGACATCAGTTGTCTCAATTTTCCTGCCCACCCCGCTTACCCATTCCAAACTGTCGCCCTCTGAACATAGGATGGACAGAGAAAATGGTAGAGGAGTGGAGTAGCCTTACTGATTAGAAACAAAATTACTGGAACCAAAATTACTTCAATGGTGAGCGAGAGTATAACAAGGTGATATATCAGAATTCATGTCAATTAACAACTTTTAATATAACTCCATAAATCATGTCTATTAATTCATTAACCCATTAATTTGTGGTTATAATCCTAACTGCAGATTTCTGTGTACTAGCCAGCCCCCATTCAAACTAATCCAGGGGCTCGCTACCGTATCAGGTTACAACCACTTCAATTTGCGGTTACATCTCACTTGAAAGTGCAGTCATTCATAACGTGCTATGTAAACAACCCCATTTAACAAGACCAACTTTCCATTCAAAGGTGCAGTCAGGCGCGACGGCTAACAAAACTGCACAGACACTACAGGATGAAACCTTTTTGCACTCCCACACCAAAAATAGTGTTTGATATTAAAATCCAACTGTGAATAGGTGCTATTACCAAGCTGTTTATCTTCTCCCTCCAGCTAGAGTAGCTCCAGGTATCAGTCAAAGGTGATAATTGGATTAGCCCTCTTCCTTTAACGTAAAATGTTACTTCTCTGCAGACTTTTCCTGTATATTTTGTAACAGGTACTTGTCCCAAGTTTTTAATCAGCATGTATATAAAACTTTACCCCACTAATAAAACTTGACAAACGTTATGCAGTGTATGTAAGCAACTTTTAACCTACTAATAAAACTAACCGCGCTATGTCCAGACCCGTGCAACCTTGAATGAATGAATGAAACTGACAGCACTACTAAAAGAGGTGTGACCATGAAACCGAATGAATGAATGAATGAATGAATGATAGATGGTAAATAGAACCCACAGATGGACACAACCATGAAACTAACTAAACAAGCGATAGTAAATAAAAACCACAATCAAACTATTGGGAACTCGGACTTTTATTTAAAAAACACAAGATGCCTTTTTCTAACTTTAAAATTCTAACCTTGAAAATAACAAGCCTAACATTTTTTGAATTATGCAAGGCCAAACAAGGCAGATACTCTAATCTCATTAAAATAACCATTTAACACTCAACAGTAATCGTTAACATTTAGCATATGTTTAAACCAGCTCTGATTTCCTGCAAAACAGTTTTTGTACAATAGCTACTGCTTAATGGTCAAGTGTTAGAATGTTATGCTTGAATTCTGTATACAAACGGCTGCTTTTGAGCTATGATTTTGGGATTCTATTTCACCTTTTATCGTGCTGCTGTGAATGAACAATAAAGAGGCAGTAAGAATTGCCGATGCTGGAGTCTGAGATAACACAGTGTGGAGCTGGAGGAACACAGCAGGCCAAGCAGCATCTGAGGAGCAGGAAAGCTGACGTTTTGGGTTGGGACCCTTCATCAGAAATGGGGGAGGGGAAGGGGTCTCTGAAATAAATGGTGGGGGGTGCAGTGACAGCAGGTAGATAGTGGAGTGGATAGGTGGGAGAGAGGACAGACAGGTCAAGCAGGCAGGAATGAAGCGACTAAAGGTGAGTGTAGCTCGGTGTTGGTGGGGATTGGTCAGTGAGGTGGGAGGAGCGGATAGGTGGGAGAGAAGAAGGAGAGGTCAAGGAGGCGGGGTTGAGGGTTTGCTGGTCTTGGGATGAGGTCGGGGGTGGGGAGATTTTGAAGCTAGTAAAGTCCACCTTGAAACCATTGGGTTGTAGGCTTCCAAGGCAGAATATGAGGTGTAGTTCCTCCAGTTTCCGGGTGGCATCGTTGTGACACTGGAGGAGGCCCAGGATGGACATGTCGTCCAGGGAGTGGGAGGGGGAGTTGAATTGGTTCGCAACTGTTGTCGTTTGTCGCGAACTGAGCGTAGGTGTTCTACAAAGCGGTCTCCGAGTCGCCACTTGGTCTCACCGATGTAGAGGAGGCCACATCTGGAACAGCGGATACAATAGATACAAAAAACTTTCCACATCAAACAGATGTTTCATGTATCACCCCATTAACCTCCAGATTCAATGCATCATTCTCCGCCACTTCTTCCACCTGCAATCTGACCCCACTACGAAGGATATATTTCCCTCCTCACCCTTATCTGCCTTCCGGAGGGACCACTCTCTCCATGACTCCCTCGTCCGCTCCACACTCCCCACTAGCCCCACCACCTCCGGCACCTTTCCCTGCAACGGCAGGAGGTGCTACACCTGCCCCTACACCACCTCCCTCACCTCCATCCCAGGCCCCAAAAAAACCTACCACATCAAACAGATGTTCACTTGCACATCCGCTAATGTGGCCTATTGTATCCGCTGTTCCTGATGTGGCCTCCTCTACATCGGTGAGACCAAGCGGAGACTCAGAGACCGCTTTGTAGAACGCCTACACTCAGTTCGCGACAAACGACAACACCTCCTAGTCGTGAACCACGTCAACTCCCCCTCCCACTCCCTGGACGACATGTCCATCCTGGGCCTCCTCCAGTGTCACAATAATGCCACCCGGAAACTGAAGGAACAGCACCTCCTATTCTGCCTTGGAAGTCTACAACCCAATGGTTTCAATGTGGACTTTACTAGCTTCAAAATCTCCCCACCCTGGACCTCATCCCAAGGCCAGCACCCCCCTCCTCCCCGCTTCCTTGACCAGTCCGTCTTCTCTCCCATCTATCCACTCCTCCCACCTCACTGACCAATCCCCACCACTGCCTACCTATACTCACCTTTACTAGCTTCATTCCTGCCTTCTTGACCTGTTCGTCTTCTCTCCCACCTATCTGCTCCTGTATCTACTTGCCCTGCCCTCTCTCTATTTATTTCAGAGCCCCCTTCCCCTCCCCCATTTCTGAAGAAGGGTCCCAACCCGAAACATCAGCTTTCCTGCTCCTCTGATGCTGCTTGGCCTGCTGTGTTCCTCCAGCTCCACACTGTGTTATTACAATAAAGAGGCTATTTTTGCCACTCACTGATCCTGGTCGTCTGGTTCTTTGAATGCGATCTCACAAAAGTGAAAGCACTCAGTGGAAATCATGGGTGGAACTGAGGAACAGTAAAGATCTAAAACTGTAAAAGATGTTACATAGTAAAGACCTAAAACTGTAAAAGATATTATGTACAGACCTACTGGTAGCAGCTGTGAAGTGTTGGATTGTATAAATGCAGAAATTAGGCAAGTCCATAGCAAAGCCAGAGTAATATTAATAGGGAGTTTTAATTTTAACATAGATTGGGAGAGGCAGATAAGCACCTTTCAGAAAAGTAGGGAATTTTTGATGTGTCCAGGATAGTTTCCTACAGCAATATACCCCGGATGCAACGAGGGGACAAGCAATGTTGGATTTAATAATGAGTAATGTGCTAGATTTGATTACTAACCTTATTGTGTCTGAACATTTATCAAATAATGATCATAATGTGATTGACTTCATCTAGTGTTTGAAAGCAAAAAACATGAATGAGCTATTAAGAGTTTTCGATTTAGGTAAGTTGGAGATAGCAAGAACTGCAAATGCTGGAATCAGAGTCGATACAGTGTGGAGCTGGAGGAACATAGCAGCTCAGGCAGCATCAGAGGAGTAGGAGAGTTGACGTTTCAGGCTTAGACCGAAACTAGGACTGGGGAGGAGGAAGAGAGCTGGGAAGTAAATAGACGGATGGGGTGGAGCTGGGGAAGGTCAATGGTATGGGAGGTCAGATACCTCCCTCCCCTTTCTGGACCTCTCTGTCTCCATATCTAATAAGCGTCTCAGCACTGACATCTATTTCAAACCCACCAACTCCCACACCTCCTCTCACCCACCTTCCTGCAAAAATGCGATCCCTTACTCCCAATTTCTCCACCTCCGCCACATCTGCGCTCAAGATAGAGCATTCCACCCATGGACTCCCAGATGTCCTCCTACTTCAAGGACTGCATCTTCCCCCCTCCACTGATCGAAAATGCCCTCAACCGCATCTCTTACATTTCCTGCACTTTTGCCCTCA